TTTTTTACATTAGCCCAAAATCAATTTGATCAGTTTTGCTTTAGTATTATCTAGTCATACAAAGTGGTCATTCAGGACTTACTGGCTTATATTTCTTGAAATATCAAGAAAAAGCCCTTTGTGTAAGAGGGGTTGGGGGGAGGCTAATAATTCTGACTTCCACTGTATATATATATATATATATATATATATATATATATATATATATATATATATATATGTATATGTGTGTATGTGTGTGTGTGTGTGTGTGTGTGTGTGTGTGTGTGTGTGTGTGTGTGTGTGTGTGTGTGTGTGTGTGTGTGTGTGTGTGTGTGTGTGTGTGTGTATTGAGAGGGAGAGAGAATTCTGTTTCTTTTATTTTTAATTAATTTGTTAAACTTTAAATTGTTCAATAGTTTTTCTTACTTTTTTTAGTACTCTTGTTTATATATTTATGTCTACAAGTATTTTTCTTGGATGGTGTATGTTTTTTTGTATTTAACATGCTGTGGATAAATAGTTTTAGGCCTTGTCTTAATATCATATGGCAATGTAATAATATTTTCTTTTTTAAAATTTAATTACTGTTGATTTTGCCATCAATCTATCTATTACTGTATGAAAATTGCATTACATTGTTAATGGATGGACTTGTCATGCTCATTTTAATTTTTAAACATTTTGTGGGGAGTGTGGGGTAAACTGGAGCACCCGGAAGAAACAGCAACACGTGGAGAACAGGTAAACCCCACACAGAAATGCCAACTGACATAGCAGGGACTTGAACCAGCGACCTTCTTGCTTTGAGGCGACAGTGCTAACCACCGAGCCACCATGTCACCCTACGGATGTTTAGATTATTATAAAATGAAACATTCAATTCCTTTCAAATAATAATCACAGTGAACATGAATGCGTTTCAGCCTTTACATTGCTCAGAGTACTTTAGGAAGCAGATCATAAGTTCATATCCATTTTCCTTCTCATTATATCAAGAGCTCTTCAGGCCAGGAGACGGAGACGTCACCAATCCTTCTTTTCTAATGTAAGACCTCCATCTGCTTTCAGAAGCTCTTCTCTTTCTAAGAAAACAAACAGAGCTACCGTCTCTCTTAGCTCCAGATACTGTTCATTCATTCCCAATTCACTGAATTCCATCACACAGAGTGGCTGAAGATTAACAAAACTCATTTCACGAGCACCGTCTACACTCCATCCATTTATATGACGAATTCAGAAAGGACAAGAGGGAGAAGTCTCAATTTTGCATATTGCTGTGATAAATAGTAATGTAATATCTGAGAGCTTGGTGATGGATGCCACCACTAAAGCCGTGTAAAGCGAGGATGAGCAGTCTGGTAATGCACAATGACAGTCGCATTAATGTAAACCTCACAATCCGCTAAATTCCATTATTCCTCTGCCCTATTTGCCAGCCGGGGGTTTTGTTTTGTGGCCCTCTTGCATTACCTCTCTCTTGTTTTCTCCCCTTCTGTCACTCTCTCTCTCACATCAAAAGTACCGTGCGGTAGATGCCATATTAATCTCCCACTTGGCAGCTACAAAGTCTGCACTGAGCGCTTTTAATAAAAACACAACTCTGATCCTGCATTCGAAAAACCTACTAATTGTGCAAAAGAGTGATCATCCTCTGTGGGCTTATCTGCTTAAGACACGTGGATTATGGGCAGTAATGTGATAAAGGACGTTTCTGTAATTTAACGCACACAGAGACGAGCATTCAGGGCTTATTCTTAAAAAAAAAAAAAAAAGCTTGAATAAAAGGTCGTAGGATTTGGGGCGCCAATCAAAATATTTCCGCTTATGCGATGCGATATGCCACTCCCAGCTTCCGTTTTACAGATCTTTGGATTTCCACCAGCTTATTACAGTGTCGGCATTGGAATGACGCGATTAGGACTAATTGAATTTGTGTTTATATTGATATTGCGACTGAGTCAAATGTAGCTGGTCGTTCTGACTGCTGAATATGTTAGTCACGGACATGCTGTTGTAGTTTTTTTTTGTTTTTGAGGGGAGCACATTTATTAAGTACATGGTGGCTTTGTTTTGCGGTTTAGTTGTTGGCTCGCTCTTTATCCTTCATGTGAAATCTGTTTTTCTCAGTTTGCCTTTATTTGTCCTGCAGTGTGAATAGATCGCTCTTTGTTTGCGGCCCATTGTTCTTTGACTTCAATCAACCACATTTTTGCCCCTGAATGGCATCGTGCTGATCAGCAATTCAGATTTTTCTTACACTGGTGACAGTAAGACAAGACACCAGACTAACATTTGAGAGCAATTTTTACACTGTAAAAAAATAGTTGATGCCTTAAGTTTTTAAGTTGAATTATTTACTTACAGTGGCTTAACTTGAACAATGGTTAACTAATTTAAAGTGCATAAAAGCACATTTTATGATGACATTTTTTAAATTTACTTAAAATTGTCAAACAGTGTAAAGATGGAGGTATAAATGCTGGTGATTTTGTGGACTGAAAAGCCTTCTAAAAAGTGGTTGTAAAAAGTGTTAGTTTTTTTCACATTTAATTAATAAATTACTTTAATTCATTCGTTTTCTTTTCAGCTTAGTCCCTTTATTAATCAGGGGTCGCCACAGCAGAATGAACCACTAACTTATCCAGCATATGTTTTACGCAGCGGATGCCCTTCCAGTTGCAACCCATCACTGGGAAACACCCAAACACTCTCATGCACACACATAAACTATACAGACATTTTAGCTTACCCAATTCACCTATAGCGCATGTCTTGGGGAGTGTGGGGAAAAACCGGAGCAGCCGAATGAAACCCACGCGAACACGGGAAGAACATGCAAACTCCACACAGCAATGCTAACTCACCCAGCTGGGGCTCGAACCAGCGACCTTCTTGCTGTGAGGCGACAGTGCTACCCACTGTGCCACAGCACTGCAAATTACAAAAATATAAGTTCTCCATAGAATATCAATGATTACACTTACTTTTACCTAATTTCTGTCATAGTCATTTGTATATCACAGTCATTCTATTTGCATTGGAAGACCTCAGGTTCTATGTGGAGGTTCATTCCGCTCTGGCATCCCCTGATAAATTAGGCACTAATTACGAGTTCAGACGTCATGATTTTGACTGGGTGATGGGTTTTGACAAATTACTGACAAATGCCTGAAATCACAGGCAAATCGCTGCTTGTTTACGTGCGTATCAATCACATTTTGTAAACTATCAAAGGCGTGATCTGAGAGAATGGCAGATGAGTTACCGACGCCCGTGAGATATTTGAAATGCTAAATATCTGGAGCTGTTGGCGATTCAAAATCATGCCATGTGAAATGTGTTCCAATTGAAAATAACAGCGGCGATTGACCTGCAGCTAAGGAGAGAGCAGCATCCACTAGTATGGGTGTCTGCAGGCCAGCAGGTGGTTGAGAATAAGTTAAAAGGCCTAACTGTCTGTCTATTTGGACCCAAGAAATAGAGGAAAAACTAGTGTAAATATTGCAGAAGCGCTTGTGTCTGTTTGACGTGTCATCTGAGTGATACCACAACTGGGTTGAAAAAGAACAAAATTGAAGAGAAATTACTAATTCCTTTCAAAGCCAGGTAAGCAAAATAAGTACATTTTCTACCCCACTAAAGGCTTCTTTCTCATTATGTAGTTAAAAACAAAATATATACCTCACGTTGTTTTCATGTCACGTTACTACGTTGTAAGACGTAGTTTGCAGACCGAGACAAAGTTGTTGGTGATTCTTCTTATTGTAAAGTAATTCAGTATGAAACCCAATGTTGCTGATCCATCTTGGAGTGTAAACAGAGCAGTGACAGGACGCAAACCCAGAAAGTCATGCAGTGTGAACACATCAGTTTCATGATTACTTTGAAAATCATGCAGTCTGAACTCGGTATAAGCCGAAGGAAAATGAATGAATGAATGAACACAGCAACTCACTTGATAAAGAATTATTAGTTGCTCAACATAGTGTTTTTTAGTGAGCTGTTCCGCTAAACTCTAACCAAAATCCGACTGACTGAATCAATCAGTTCCCTGCTATAAGCTGGATAAAATGATCCATTTAAAAGATCTGGTTCAAACTAATTGTAAGTCTGTGAACTGTTCATCACTACTTTTCCAGGAAGAGGTAAATCAAAATTTGAATAAAAAACACTGGAGTGCTCTTGACACAAAACGATGACTATATGACTCTCCCTGTAAATTTATGGCTCATGAAATACAACATGTTAATCAAACACTTATGATCATTTTGTAGTTTCTTTTTCTCATTTTCACTTATCCACTTTTATTCTATAAAATTAACAATGGCTGAAATAAACAATCTTCAAAAATGAAGATGAGAAAGCAATTCAACTATGGTTTACGTTCTCGCTTGAACAGCACCACTCTACTGGATATCAAATGCATATGTCATTATTAATAACTTTGAGTTTTGTGGCTTCTATTCGTTTTCTGTTCATGTCCGAAGGCCAGATAATATTACACTGCTTTTTGTGTGTATATGGGTGAGTGTGTGTGTGTGTGTGTGGTGTCTTGCGTCGGTTTGTCTATAGATGCCTGATGTTTATCTTCTAGTTGTTGGGTGACTCATTATCAAACCACATCAAAGCCACTTCAGACCAAACAGAGCATTGTGTGAATCACAGTCAAGGACATTTATGTCTGTTAATGTTCCAAAGGGATGCCACAGTGTTTAGGACATTCGTCATGGGTGTTTTTAGTCAGACACTCTTTGTCAACTTTTTTGTGTGTTGGCTGATTTAAAAAAAAAAAGATAAAACCATGTAGCCCAATCAACTTTGTACTGTTATTTATGGACACCGTCTTGTTTCGGGCCTGATAACCTTAGTGATGTGACTCTGGTATAAACCCATATGCACATTCACAGTTTATGCTTCACATTCTCACACCCACCGTCCCCTCTTCTGTGTCTTTGAACTGAGTTTATCTCTCAAACATCACCATGCGGTGTCTTTAAACATGTTTCTTCTCTCTGCAGCTGAATGGGGAGGCACAGGAGCTCTTCTCTGTGCGGCATGGGCCTGTGCGAACTGCTAGAATCCTACCTGCTCCACATATCAGTGAGTGTCAGATGCACTACCTTGTCATCCCACTTCAACAGAACCAGCCAGAGACGCATAAATGCATTCATTTTAATAGCATACAGCAACTCCTTGAAACATTTACCCTTTTGCATGCTGTTAAAATGAATGCATGTTCAAAAGAAATGCCTGACTGAAACAAAGCCACTTATTTTGATGTTTTGTTGTCTATAGCCATGCTATATATCAGTGCTTCGCATAGGCTTGAAGTATACTTGTGGAGGTAGCTGGATTGAAACACACCATTTACCCACACCACATAGGTACTTAGCTATATTTGACAAACAAAACATACTTTTTAATAATACTTGTGTTTATTATGACACTGTTATACACTGTTTTTAATAGGTTAAAGTAAAAAAAAAAAAAACTTTTATGCTAATCAGGAGCCATGTGCACCCACTGACAGGTAAAATCTGCTTCGCTCTCTCTTTCAAGTTCAAAGCAAACTAGAATGCCAAAGCATTTTAGATATGTATATAAACTAGCCCATGTAATATATTAACATCATCAAATTAATCAAATAATCAGCAAATAAGAAATAAATGACAGAAAAGGTAATAAAAACAGACAATATCTCTAAAAAACTTAATAATTGCAAGTTTAAAACGAGTAGATTTTTTTAAAAATAAGGCAAATGCCTTGATTAACCATTACTAATGGTATAGACTATTTCAATATGGTGATGTCATTGGCCTATGAACATTTCCAGCTTGTTATCAAACTATTTCATAACTTTTACAAGAGGCAATTCAATCGTAATTTAAAGTTAAAACGGCTATTATAACATTATCCATATGTGGCTCTTTTTGGATTCTTGGAAGCTATATAAATTAAAAGTGTTAAGCAGGAAATAATTTGGGATCATTGTTTTTGTTTACATCCCTCAAAATAGTCAATGTATTTATTTTGCAGCCTTGGATGACATTTCGCCTTTGTGTGTATTGTAAAGTTTTTCGGAGTCATTTAGATTAATGAATCTATTATTTACTTTTTCTCTCTGTATTGCGGCTGTGTGTGCACTGTCAGCTGTGAAACCAGCTGGAAAGTAGTCTTTAATAAAAGAGTAATGCAAAAATGCATACGAGCTTTAGAAAGCGACAGCAAAAGTTGAATTCGGGACATTTTAGGAGATTTAGAAACCCAGGCTGGATGAACTTTAAGTCCCAAAAATATGCATCTCTGTGGGTATGCAGAGCACTTGTCAACAGTCCTGCAGACAGTCTCAAGTCTCGCGGGCACAGAACAAAACTGGTAAATGAGAGAAGATTTTCCACTACTTAATCGATCGCTGATGTTTGGTTATATTGAGCGGATACAAAAAGTGTAAAAGCATGTTAATAATAGTAAAAAAAAAAGTGTCAATAAATATACTTACGTGGCCATAAATATATCTGGGCAGCCCGCCCAAGTAAAGTCTATGTGTGGGAAGCACTGTCTATTTATTAAGTTATATTTTAATATTGTTAACTGTCTAAATTTTGAGGGCTAATTTATAATGTAGGACTGTGATTCTGAACTGGTTTTGTTTCTTGATTCAAACATTTTCCACCCAACACCTTATTGTTGACCAACAGTAAAATGCATTTTTTAACACTGATAATCAAAATCAGTATGAAATCAGCTGATTAAAATTCATTCTGAAGGATCATGTGACACTGAAGTAATGGAGTAATTCCTGCTTTACTTTAGCTTTGTTTTAAAATAGAGACAAAAGTCTAGTATAAACTATTTTATACTAAATTGCTATAGTATTTCACTTTTTAATGCATTTTTTAATGCATTTACAGTATTTTAATGAAATAAATGCATATTGTAGATAAAACAATTGCTTTTATGAAGCATTTTTCTCTATGATAAAAGTTTGTTTGCCATCCTACAGTTAGCATATATAAAAACTGTTTCATTTAATTTAAATTTTATTATTTTAGAATTTATTTAGTGTTTTCTCTTCCTGCTGTTTTCCTGAATAGATATAATAGGATCCAACTTTGGGTTGAGATCCCTGCCAGAAGCCCTTTCATTACTGTGTGCAAAGCTGCTGCTCTGAAATATTATTACAAATTCTACATTCCAGTGACATCTTAATTTTCAGCTTGTCATGAACAAGCGTCCACCCCCAAATTGAAATATGTGTCGACAGAGCACGATCTCCGGCTACGCTTAAATTTATTTCACATGTCATATGTCACATAAACGGCACGTTCTTTTACATGTTACGTTTGCCACTGCTATTTGTCCATAAATTTGCAGAAAATAAAATCAGTTTGAGGCAGTTACATGCTTTTTCGAATCAAGTTAGACCGAGATGTAGCAATTTATAAAGTTCCATGTCTCTCTTCCTTACTGGCTTTTCCATATATCATGTTTAAATTAAAGACTACCTTCTGTTTCTTAATAGCGCAGAGAGCTCGCCAGAGCCCCGCTGTTTTCCCATCATAATATTAAAATCAGTCCTTCACGATTATGTTGGCATGCTGTCAGCTGGCTGCCTGGACTTTTACCGCCGCTTTGGCAGAGAGGAACTGCAGACTTCTGTGATTTTCCTTCTCTTTCATCACGACTCACTCATTGGTCATCGCATGCTTGTGCTCATTCCGTTTGTTAGGGGACCAAAATGAATAGCCTGACAAAAGAACGCTACATCTTTCAAAACAGAAAAAATGTGCAACCTGATTAGGTGTGCTAGGATTTTTATGTAAGGTCAAATTCTCTCCCTTTTAAAGATATTCATTTTCTTTTTGATAAATTAGGGTGGTTTTTGTGAATAAATCAGGTTGTTAGTTTTAAATTTAATCCTGTTTTTTTTTTTATCCCATATGCAAATGTAAAAACAAAAGGAATAGGAAATGCACTGAGTTGTATTGTTGGGTGACATTTATGCCCAGAATTTGCTTTCTGTCCTTTTGGCAGATTTAAACAATGCACAATAAAGGCATTGAATGCCGGCTGGATTGGGATAAAAGAGAATTGTCATAATAAGAAGCAGCAGACAGCCGACACATGAGGAGAACGCTTCTCTGCTAAATCAAATGAATTGTACAAGTGGGGAAACTGATTGCGATCTGTTTGGCGCAAACAGTGTCATACTGTAGTGGGATTTAAAAAGAGTAATTGTTTTAGCTGGGTGGGCGGATTTGGAAAGTCCTGAAAATAGGTGTCAATTTTAATAAGGCAAGGTCTTTCCCAGAATAAAGAAGGAAGTTCCACTTTCTCTAAAGAGACAAACTGGCTCTCTCTTTTCTTTTCCTCACATCCGTTCCGTTTCTGACTTGTGCTGTTGTTTTGCAATGATTCATTTCCAGGTGACCGCTACGGATGTTCCTATTCACAGCTGACCAAAAGTCAGCGATTGCTTCCTCACCATTTCAATTTATCTAACTGTTGAAAGCAGCTCTCCTAAAAATGTACCTTTTTCTGAAATACAGGAAATTTGTTATGTCTTCCAGAAAACAATTCCCTTAATATTTCTCCGCATAAATTAAAAGCAGACATTGGAAATCTTAAACGAAAGCCACTTTTTAAAGTCCAGCCGTTTTCGGGGGACACAGCTACGGGCAGACAAGAACACGGGGTGGTTTCTGCCCCTTAATTGTTCTTTTAAATAGAAGGCAGCTGTTGTCCTTTAGAAGCCTGTCGTATTTGCGTTATGATTGGATATCGTGAGCAGTCGCAATGTCTGATGACATAGAAGTGAAGATAGAGGAGAGGCCCTTTAAAGTGTTAAGGTTTGAGAATGACACATTTGCACTCACACGCCATGCCACAGGGACCGTTCTCTCCTGGAGCTGATTAGTGTCATGGCATGGCTGTCCAAATTACAGCTCCACAAAGGCTAACATCTTCTTCTACCCCAACATGAATGAACGTCTCTCCCCCCGCCTTCTCTTTTAAATCAAGAGAATTAGATAAATATGGCATCTGTAAACTTACTGCGACATGTTTTCTCCACCCAAAGTATGCCTACCGGCCTTTTGCCATTCTGTAATTCCTCCGAAGCCTTGAAATTAAAGCCAGTCAGACAGAAGACTCCTCCGAAAGCTTTGAAGGCTTTCTCCATTAGAGTCGGAGGAGAAATGGTTTGTGTTCAACACATTGAGCTGAGTGGCGTTTCTGTTCTCTGTCTCCATTTAATGTCTTGCATGCTGGTATTTTAATTTCATTTGATCCCTATAAGTCTTTGTGAGGACCAGGGCATTATTTTCTGGTAAGTGAGGTTGTGTGTATGTCAAAGCTGACAGGAGTGAGGTGCCCGCTTTTTTTAAAAGGATATTTTCAAGGCATAATTTTGATTACAGATCTCTTGTAATGCAATCAACACGCTTCCTGTTGCGGTAGCTGTTTTTTAAGATGGAGTTCGGCGGGTGGGTGGCTTTGGCAGAGAGACAACGGGCCTCATATGCGGGTGGCTAATGAATGTCCCTCTTTATGTGGGTCAGTGGTTAATGTTCCCCCTTCTGTCCCTCCGGGTGCAGGTTCCCTCAACACTGACAGCTTCGCTGAGAAACGGCCCCTCCTCGGCGTGTGCAAGAGCACGGGTTCTTCAGGGTGAGTGAACAACGACCACGTCACTTCCACTGTCAGCTCGGCCTAGTGTTACAGGAGCTTTCATATTCACAGGTCATGCTTGGCTGTTTTTAAAGCTGCACACAAGTACGGTTTAAGCAGAAGGGTCACAATTACAGAATTATTATCGAAAACTTTTTTTGTTCTTTTTAGATTATTTTCCATCACGTATTATAATGAGAGACACTATTATTGATTAGCACCAGAGACATTTTAAGGGCACCTATGATGAAAATCATCTTTTGTAAGCTGTTTGGACAGAACTGTGTGTAGTGTCTCCACAGTCATATCGGGGTGATATAAAGACAATTGGTCTCTTTTTAGTGTCCTGACATTAAAATAGGATTCAAATCCCTTCCATTTTGAAGCCGACCACAACGTGATGTAGGAATGCGGTTTCCCCGCCTACCAAATTGATTGACAGTTGCGTATTAACATGTCTCTGTAGTGACGCGTATAATCGTATCAACAAGACAGGACATGCGCAAAGTAACTGGGATTAAAAGAACTGTTCAGCTCTCTGTGATCATCAGTCATCATCAAATGTACATGTACAACTTTTAAATGTTTTAAAACATGTTTGTAATGAATTACAGCGATTTTACCGTCTTCACTTTATTACCACAGCCACCTGTGTGTACAGTTATAAATGAAAGACGCTTGAATCCTGGTTTATAGATGTTAAATTCCATTTGTTTTGGACATTAACATAATGGATATCCATACAGCAGTGAATATTAGCATGTATCCTGTCACATTTGCCACGCAAAAACGTGCAAAGTTAATTGCGATCGATGTTTGTATGTGTGCATGCATGCGTTAACTTTGTAACGACATTGTGTTAGACTCATCGTTGCAAGTCCACAACAAATACATCTAACAATCATTAGTAAAGTTCTTACTGTAGTGTTTCTCACAAACATTTTGTGAGATCTGTTTCCTTCATGTCTGTCACTGTGCTATTTATCTGATGCAGCCAAGGTGGAGATTGAGGCACACTCTGACAGGCACGTGGGAACGGTGGGTGGGAAGAACTAGCATTAAAGGCACAGGCAACAAAAGCAACTACATTGTGTTCAGAGCAGACAATTTCAATATTTTGAAAGGTATAATAAATAATTTGATGGGTGTTTTGAGCTGAAACTTTACAGACACATTCTGGAGACACAAAATACTTATCTTAAATCTTGAAAAAGGGCTTAAATAATTGCCCTTTAAAACTATAAAATTATATATTTTTGACCTAGTCTAAATTTCTGTGCTGTCATATTTTGTAATCTGTAGTGTTTATATTATAGTTTGTGCATTTATCTGTAGGTAGAGCTGCACACTGGTGATGGTGAGGCGAGTCCTCTCATATAATTGTAATGTGCTTTGGGTGTATGGCCATACCCAATAAATACGCTATATAGATGCACATTAAAACACTAAACATCAAGAAAGTGTTCTTTTAAGCCTATTATGCAGAACATACACTTGACTGCAACACACACAAAGTTTGTGCTTATGAGCTTTTCTGAAGTGTTTTCAGATTCTCAACAGCATTTAAATATGTGCCCCTGACTACTCACTTCAGTAGATCATTTTCTTGTTGATCTGTATGCTTTTCACAGAAATGGATTTGTGCTATTGAGAATTAGTAAGAATGGATATGGAAAATGGATCGTGAACCACTGCATTAATTTGCCATTACCAATATTTCTATCTAACTTATGCACAAATTTAGAATATTGAATAAAACATTTTTCATATATAAAATGTTTCCATCCCATGTGTTCAAGACAATAAAATAGTTACTTCATGGGAAAATGAGACAATATATCAATAATGAAAATGGAAGTTCCTGCCAGTGGGAAAGCAACTGTAATGCCTCCTTCTTTATAATAAATGTGTTGTGACTCAGAACTACAGTCACTAAACACAGTAGCAGTCCTTGTCGTGATCGTTTGAGTTCGGAGGCAGGTGACTGATGTTTGGGGACACAATCAACCGATAACTAGATTCTCTCAAGTTTTTTTTTTAAGTACTAAAAATCTGCATGAGAATAGGTAAGTGGAAATTTTTGTGCTGTTTGAAGGTCTCATTTGAGATTTAATATGAATATAATATGAATATAATTAGTGTGCCGACATATTGCAAAAACATTGCACCATGTCATGATTTGAGAAAGTCCAGTTGAGGTGAAATGCAGGTCAAGGCCATTTAAAATTTTTGTACTTTTCCCTAAAGTGAAGTTTTATGGATATAATAGGCATGTATCCTTCTCCCGCAGTGCGCGACACGAGTGGAGACATGTAAAACTCTTCATGAAGTGAAGTCCATGTGCTAATGGAATGTTCCGTCTGTTGTCTGGTTTATGGCGTTTTCCCATTTTAAAGCACAGTCTAGGCCAAGCCACATCCCTTAGCGTGTGCAACATTTAGATATTATGAGGTACAAATCTTAAGTACATTTGAAAACCCGTAATTTGTTCTGCATAATAACCTGCATCAAAGGTCCGACGAGGGCCAGGGAGTGTTCTAGAAGAGATGGCGTAACCCTGCTGACTAGGGATGGGACGATAACCGTTTTCAAGGTGTATCGTGGTTTGGAAAAGTCAAGGCTTTAAAACCACCAAAATTATCTGCTTTACCATTCCTTTTTTTTTTTTTTTTTTTTAGGTTTTTAGAAAACTAATGAAGACAGCATAAGTCAATGATTCATTTTAATTATTTAGTCTGACATGTTTACTGTTCCAAAATATTTTAAATGTATCTCAAATTAAAATATTTTTTGTTCAAAGGCGAAAATTTTTTTTTTTTACCCAGACATTTGAAAAGAATATATTTTAGAGCAGTGATCACAATACTGTGAAATCGTTATAATTTTATCCAAGGTTATATCATCAGAATCTTAAACAGGTCCATGCCTACTGCTGAATGATGAACTGTTTCCAGTGGTTCGGTACGGTTTGGTTCGTTAATCTTTTATGGCCGTTTCCACTGTCAAAGGGTACCTAAAAGTGTTCTGTACCATGTCACTTTTTTGGCACCCTTTTGAAAAGGTACCTAGCATAAGAAAAGGGCACAAAAAGGTGGAGCTAGATGTGCTGCTGAATGCTATTGGTTTACAGAGATACGTCACTCGCAGATGCCGGAAAATAAAAACAAAGGAATTGTCATTTTTAAAAACACAGCCAAGGCATTACACTGTAATAATATATACATATAATAATGAAACCTGGTGGGCCTAACATCCAACATCTGATCCTTTCAGAAACTGACAAACGCGAGAGTGAAGCATGAGAAAACAAAGGAGAAGCCGGAAAAAAACAGCAGCAAATGATGTTTTCTGCAACCTAAAACATGAACAAACTGCCATGTTTAACTATGATCATGACCTTTTGGAATATTATGAACTCTTAGATGGAATTACTTTCTAACAAGAGGTTACATGTGCTGGACACATAAAAACGACACATATATTTCTATATTTCGTGTTGTTTTTTAACCCAAATAAGCAATAAATGTATGTTGTGTGTTAAGCTGTTTTTCTGTGATTGATAACATATCAGAGGCTGTAAAGGCTCCTACACACCGGGACGCTTTTCGTGTATGTTTTTCTGCATTCAAACCCAAGCGATTTTCACTGGCGTCAAGCAGAAGAGTATGCAAAATCACTCTTTGACGTTAGATAGCGCTACACAACTTTAAGCTTCCGACACCCACTTTTAACACAGAAGAAGAGGAAGAGAGGAAGTTCACACGCTACTGGTGACTCGAACAAGTATATATGGTTCAAGCAGCAGCTCCAGCTCTAGCGATGAAGAAATGATTATTGTTCAGCAGAGCAATAAACAGCTCCACGTTCTTATCGCCTCTAAGTATCTTCTTCAATGTGCGCTCGCATTGACAGTTTTGCGCTTGAGCGCCTCCAAGTGCTGCTTACTGTAACTTCAGCAGCTCCGTGCACGTGAACTAAAGTGGCAATCTGATTGGAGGAGAAGGTTTTAACGCAGTGCATCCGTTTAAAAAAACAAGCATGAGGCGCTTTTTTTTTTAAATGACACTGTTGCGCCTGGCTTTTTGCGCGTTGGTGTGCACAATCACATTGACACCCTTTTATATAGTCACAAGGCATTAAACATAGACAGAAAACGCGAGCAAAAATGTCTCTGTGTGCACAGGCCTTAATGGTCTGTATGTGTTCATATATATTGCATTTATTTATTTAATATAATCGCAGATTATATGCCAAAGGGTACCCTTTTGGCAGTGGAAACGCAAGCCTGATAAAGGTGACCCTTATCAAACTGTACCTTTCATTGGAAACGGGCCATGAGTGACCATCCTGGTCATCTCCAGAGGGACAGTTCTGGTAGCTTGGACCCTAAATTTGTGGAAAATATGCCCCCTTAGGGAGTGAGAAGGAACAGGGCACATCAGTTACTGGCTCCTCTCCTCCCCTCAGCTATGTCTGCCACCTCTTAAAACCAACTCCTCCGCTTCTGCTGCAAATCTTAACTCAATATTTCCTCCCAAGGAAATAGAATAAGGAAGTCTGTCCTCAGCACACTTTGATGGAGACCACCATCCCAGCCGTTTCAAGACTAGAGCTTTACTCTGCCGGCTCTTATGCAGCCAAATGCGCCGTGTCCGCCCTGACATGGAGACAGACTCTGACGATTTGGCTTTGTACTCCAGCAACGGTTGGTCTAATGCTGAAAACATGCCTCGTGTTGAAAACCATAACCCTCTCCCTCCGGGTGAATGGTGTTGCCGCTGCTACGTTCCAGTAGACGTGTTTGGTAAATAGCCTAGGTCTGTACTTTCCTTTTTTTTTTTTAAAGGCTGCACTGTGCTCGGCTCTTTCCCTTATACTGAAATAGTTCATAAACTTACCAAAGTCCTCACACGATTTTTAGTATGTAATCATTTTGAAATAACAGCTTTTGTCAACCACCAGTGTGGATGCTGTCTTGACACTCAAATGGAAAACAGATT